TCTGTGCTTGTGTAGGAAAAAGAAGCTTTGGAGAAGAGGGTTTCAGACATGGAAGAAGAATTAAAGGTAAAAGGAAGATGTCTATTAAATGTGGTTTTTCTGTGTTATGAGTTATTATGAGTTGGGGTGACTTATGGAAGCATGTTCAAAGATGCTAACTTCAAAATGTACTTGGACAGTTTGTTTGAACTGACTGTTAAAAAGGTTAGATCACAAGATTTTAACAGCTAGTGTAACTACCATGCCTGTTTTGACCCATGTTAGTCAATCTCAGACACCACAATGCTTGCTACTGGCCCACACCAAAGTCGTGGCCACTACTCTCGGCTCTGTAGCATCTCACAGCTGCAGCAGTACATGGTGACCTAGTTCCAGCTACGCCAGGGCCGGACTAAATCCAACACAGAGACACGGCATGGCTTTTGTTCAGCATTCCAGCAGTAATTGCACATAGCTGGCATTTTGAGGGGCCAAGAAGAGCATGGTGCCAAATATATGAAAGGCCAAATCAATGTGAAGGAGATGAGATATCTACGGCTGCTGTAGTCTGCCAGGCTCAGTTGGATAATTGATCCATGTTGCAATTGAGGTAACATGGACTCTGGGGTGTTTTGGTTCAAATTAGTTCAAAGTTGATTAGATTAGAGCCAAGATATGCAGATGACATTGTCATTTATATTGCAAATATGCAAACAGAATACCATGGAGGGAATAAAATACACTTTTAAAAAATAAAGGTTCCAATAAGGGGTTTTCACGATGTCACAGTGGACAGTTCTTTAAGGGATAGTTCACCCACATATGAAAATTTGCTGTTAATTTACCTACTCTCAGGCCATCCAAGATGTAGGTACTTTTTTTTTTGTCAGTAGAACAATAAAGAAGAATATTAGCTGAAACCGTGGTCCTTGGTGATTCATTAAATGTAAGTTAGAGACTACCGTCACTTTGAGAGTCAAAAAAAGCATATCAGACAACACAAAATTAATACCTGTGGCTCCTGACAATATACTGAGATCTTATGAAGCGAATCAATCAGTCTGTGCAAGAAACTGAACATTATTTACAACATTATTACCTGTAATCCAGAGCCTCAGTCAAACGGTCCGGAGAGGTGTTTGGTTCACATACGAATCATTCCTTTCAACTGGTTCTTTTTAGTGAACTAGTTGAACCAGTACACCAAATCAGACTGAACTGTGTAAAACAGTTTGTGGCTCGAACAGCAAAGATCTATATGTTACTCAATCAAAACTCATTATCAGACATTCCCGACAGTCACTCCGACTCGAAATGATCCAGTTACCAGCGTATATGATCCTATGATGCCGGTTTTGGCCAACCCATTCAGTGCATCAGTTACTCCAACAGTCACTGATCCGAGAAAAAATAAAAAACAGTTCCGACTTGGACCTCTCTGTAAAAAGGCGTTGATTAAACTAGTTTATTCACTTTATATGCTTCAGAGATGTAAAATATCTGTGTTTCACATCATTTTTGGGTGCTTTAATAATATAACTGCTTGATTATGTAAATTAACTGGTGAATCAGTTTTGAACCAGTTCATTTTGAACCAGTTCATTGAAACAAACTGTCTGAAAGAACCAGTCTGCATAAAGAGCAAGAACACGCCCATCAGCGTCATTGGCAGCGCTGCACAGGACTTGCTCGAGAAGAATGTCTCCAAAGAAGTTTGTCTTTGGATGTAGGGGAAAGATAACCTTGTTCAGCTTCCTAAAGAACACATTGTTACATAACATTACGTGGATGCAGTTTGTTTTTCTGGGGTAGAAACGGAGTTTTGCAAGTGTGTCTGTTTGTTCCCGTCCTTTCGGTGATGAATGTTTTATAAACAAGGCCCAGTTTGAGGCTGGTTCGGAACCGCAGGCGTTTTGTTGGCAGTCGGCGCGCAAGTGTTCGCGACTCTTTAGCTCCACCCACAGCGCGCCTCCAGAAGCTTGGCTGTTTTCAGAGAGAATAGTAAATCTGTATCTTTCTTTTATAAATATGATACTTATGGAATATTAGACTCTTTGGAGATATGAAGGATGCAGTACTATAGGTACTCAAGGTTAACATGAGATTGGGCAAAACTGTATGTCCCCTTTAATATATCGTCAAGAGCCATGGGTATTAATTTTGAGTTGCCTGATATGCTTATGCGTCACTCTCAAAGTGAGGGTAGCCATTGATTGCAAAATCGCTGCAAATTTTCATTTTTGGGTGAACTATCCCTATCATTAAGAACCATTTGTGTGACTAGCCTAAAGAAACTTTGTCCACTATAAAGAACCTTTTTTTTTCAATGGAACAGTTCCATAAATGTTAAAGATTCTTGATGGAACCATTAATACCTTTATTTTTAACAGTGTATATTTATGCAGCTTTTCAAACACTAATTGGTAGGTCCAACAGACTCTCACTTCATCGAGCTCATAAGCATAAGAAAATGAGAAGCACTTGTGTTTGTTTGATCAGTGATGTCACTGTTGCCCCAGCAGACGCCCTCAGTGAGGTTTCGCTACCAGCCCTGAGTTCATCCTCAGCTGGACTGGGTGAAAGAGGGCAGATGGTGAGTGGTTTTGCCCCACGCGTGGTTGCCTGCTCACACACACCTATACACACCCATTACTACATAGTGTAAGTCATGTAGATCACTTTTAGTCACAGATTTGTATCCATATTTTTTTTCTCTGTAATGCTCTCGAAATAACTCTTACTGGAATTCCTCAACAGCAGGCTTACTGTCCTATGAAGACAACAGCAAGCACTGTATGAAAAACCGCTGCTCATTGTGACCTAATAATAAAATGACAATCCCAGAATGCATTGACTGAGTCAAGCGTAATGTTGATTATAAATGCTGTGTTAATGCCATGACATAATTAGATGACAACCCGGGACGTCCTACTCTGAGCTGTTCTCCTCAGACTCTGAATTATGCGTCTCTATGGTACACTATTAAAGGCGGGGTAAGTGATTTCTGGTAGCCAATGTTGATATTTCAAATCACCAAAACAAACACGCCCCTACCCCAAAATGGTCTCGACCCTATTTTGATAGCTCCGCCCACACATACATACGCAACCCAGGCAACGATTATGGCGGAATCTGCTGTGCCAGTCGGCCGAGGGTATGATGTCATCAATAAGTGAAAGCAATGTGTTACTATGGTAATACAGGTCGAATGTGTTTTGGTAGTACTGTGTGTTTTAACGTGCATATATGTGTTTTAACAGCATATATTCTGTGAAACAAAGCAAAACCAATGTTACTCACCTATCGAGAAGAAACAAAGCAACCTCGGCATCTGATCGCAGGCCTTCCCGCTCCTTGAGTTCTCTCCAGCGCTGGAAAGCTGATCCGATATTTACACGGGTCCTACTTGCCTTATCGTAAGCCTTCTTTTGTTCTGCAGACGTTTTCCTCTTTTGTTTTTTATCCGCCATCTCTATCTTTCTGTCGCTCGGCTCGGCTAATGTCCGTCCTGTGCACTGAGTGCTCTCTCCTCCACATCATGAGTAGACACGCCCCTTACTGCTGATTGGCTACAAGTTAGTTTTGGTGCTCTGCCCGACTCAGTTTTCTAAAGCATTTTTGAAAAAATACATACCCCACCTTTAATGGCAAAAATTAATCTGTGTAATTTGAGTAGTCAATAGAAAAAACCACAAAAGATTGCTGGAAGGATGACATGTTTTTGTAGGCCAAAATCTGGAAATAAGTTTGAAATATTAAAACTTTTCGTTCCATTTTCGTTTTGAATTCTGGTGATTGTATTTCAAAATTCATTATTATTATTCATAAAAGTTGTGTTAATTTGTGAATATTATCATGGTGAATAAAACATGCAGGAGTCACAAACTTTTGTTGGTCACAGAGCTAATTTTCTGCAATAATCCAAAAGCCAATTGGAAAATCTTATTAGGTTTTATTGAGTAAATCACGGTGATGCAAACTTTTCGGTTCGCCGAAGTATATGCCATCCCTATAGCACTCTATGCACTCTTAATGTCTTATTAATAAAAGTATCGTTTATTTAGTGGGACATTAGAAGCGACATGCTAACGGCAAACTCGCTTAAGTCGTGACGAATTAAATACTATTTTTGGGTCCAAGCCTTGATTCCATTGCAATTGAGAATACTATCTCAACAGCTGTTTTGTGCACAAATTATTTATACTGCATTATTAAGAACTCACAATATCAGTTTCTGTGCAAGGGTTTAACAATTCATAAAAAAAATGTATCACTCTCTGGCCTACTATGATTTCAGTGTGAAGACAAAGGTTAGGATTATAATTTTTCCAGTATATTATACCACACCATGAATGTATATTAGCACCATTTGCTGTTTGCTTTTGAGATCTGAAGGAGCGCTTGGATGTGGAAACAGTGACGTGTGACATAAAACTTAAAAAGCGGATTGGAATCAGTTGTTAGCGAGTCATGTCTTGCTGCCTGTGTAGAGTGTTTCACATTGAAGGATGTTGCTTTAGGTTAGATAGCAGGTTATGCAGCATAGCCTACTGAGTAAGGAATGGCTCAGCAGAAAGAGACAAGAGCCTCAGCACCATCTAGAAGCCATGTTGTGACAAATTGAGTCATGACTTGAAGCAAAACAGCACTTGTACTGGTTATCTGTGCTGGCCAACCTCTGTTTATCAAAGCAGTGCGTCATTTATATGACTACAGATGTTCTTTGTAGAGACAAAACAATGAATCATGAAAGAGCTCTGAACAGATGCCGGATACCTCGCAGTTCTCTGTTGGTTTTTCATGCATTGGAGAAACTCAGTGGCCTGGTCCCAAATCCATAAGCTGTGAAACCATGTTTGGAAACGGTGTCAGACCTCAGGGTTTCTCCACATGCTGGTTCAGGAAGTTTCTGAGGTTGACCACAGATGCCTCACAACGCTCATTAATCTCACTGCACAGTGTGGCTTTTATGAAAGAAAATAGTGGTGCTTACTACTTTTTAAAAGTCATCCAATAAAAAGCTTGATTTTATTTTAAGTATAGTGGTCATGAAGATGTTTGCAAGCCTGTCCTCCTCATCCTTTTTG